CCCCCCCCCCATTTAATAGATGATATAAACCAGAGTTGGAAATGGCATCCGATTATGTCTGACCTTTCTTTTTAACACAAACAGCTTTTAGTGGGTTTATGCATTTATATTTTTGAGCTCAACCTTGACCCTGTTTAATACCATTTTATGCATGCAGGTCTCCCAGTCATGCCAACTATCCCAAGCCCAGTTTCACACACTTGCTTGTGGCCATTGTAGTTCATGTTTTGGTTTGTTCTGCTTGGCTCAAGTCATTGCATTTCTTGCCCAGCCATACAAATAAGAATCCGCTGACTTTGTTCCTCCCCACCCCTCACATGAGCAAACCTTCCTGGTGCTTCCCTTTTATCTTTGCGCTGCCTTGTGTCAGAGTCTGTCTCTCTCTCTCATAATGGTTTGTACCTGCAAAGTCTCTCTTTATTCTGTCTGTTCCCCCTGTTCCTTCCCACTGTAGTTGCTACGCTTCTGTGCCTGCAGTAGCTTTTGACACGGAGCACTGAATATTTCATTGACTTTATTGGATTCTCCCATTGCCCATCCAGCTCTTTTCATGAATCCCTTCTTTTGTCTCCTTGAAAAGCAGCTGGTATTATTTTTAAAGCATATTTACTCAAGGAGCTGACGGCACTTTGTGCAGGCATGCGGATGAGAAACTTTCCATGTAAAGACTCAAAGCAGTGCTCAAAGCGTCAAATTTACATGTTCCTAAAGACATTCTGGTGCTCTTTATTTACCATTTCAAGCACTAAATAAAGTTTTATAAATCGGAACATTTATTGCAGTACGCTGTGAGCGTGAATTAGTAAGTGGAGGAAAAATACAAAACGGTGGAGGCTGTTTTTTTGTTGTTTGTTTATCACTGTAAAATGTTTTCACACAAATTGTGTGCGGTGCTGAGCTATCTTCCCTTTTTTATTGCAGTGAAAGAAAAGGAGGATCTGTACCCTGATGAGGAGTCACAAGGAATGAACGATGATGCCTTTGAATGCAGGTGAGCTGCAGTGGGCAGCTGGGATGCAGGTGTATGATTAAGAAATTCTCTATTCTGTGTTCTCTCCTTGAAATTCATATTTTCTGAGAACAGCAGTGGGCAATAACAACCACACTGAAAACATTTTTTGTGAAGACGAGAGACAAAATGGTCACAGATCACAGAAATGTTTTTCCTTCCCATTCTAAAAGCAAACCACGCACTCGTGGCCTTTCCCAGGATCAACCTGGAAGCCAATGCTCCCAACACTTAATGAGCTAGGTAATCGCACAGTGTGCTTAATAGTAGTGTACAGCTCAGCTTAAGCTTTATTCCCCCCCTTTTACCTAGAATCGTGTGCTTCGACTTTGTGGTGAGATTCTGATGGTGTGCATTTTTCTGCTTTTTACAGTGAATGAATCACCTTCTTTCAGTAGAATGTACTTTGTGTGCTGGTATGTGTGTTTGGAACGTTTCATTTAGTGTACGCCTGGTGCGTGTAGCTGACTAACTGTATGTGATTGTCTGACTTTTTATTGAAAACAATGTAAAATTAACACAAAAAATGAATATTTGTATTTGGCAGAATATTTATCTGTTGTAACAATGCTCCATGCTAATAAAGCTTACATCAGGCACCTGATTGGCAGCACCTAGGGGTAACATAAGCTCAAAACTAGAGCAGTTTCTCAATGGCAGAGAAGATTTGACCATTTTTTTTTACGTGTTCCACACACAAAGCTCTTCTGCTCATCCAAGAAATGCATGTTCCTTACAAATGGGGCACCATTTGGAAAGGAATTAAAAGACTTTCCAACAGCATACGATTTATTGCCAAGAAGCATTGTTACAACAAAGATATAATTTACATATTTATTATAATCTGAACACCCATTTTGTTTGTTTGTTTTTCTTTTAAGAAGCTCATTGCACTAACTGATTTTTTGAAGGATTCTTTACATCTGTAGGAACATTGCTAATTGCAATGACATGAACCATTTTGTACTAAGACACTTCTATGACAAACATTTCCCATTTTAATCTTTGTAAATACAGTTTCATCATGTGCTATGACTTGATTAGGTAAACTAACTACAGTCCAGCCAAGCATCAGAACTTTTAAGCATAAAAAAACGTGGAATCACAAAAAAATGTCTGCAACCCCACGAGAGCCACTTCAACCATCAAAGTGCTTTGATTTTGATGTCTGCAGTCTTTCATAAACATAATCACCGTTTTAAGATCAAAAGCAGTGTTTTAAGCTGGATTTTACACAACACCTGCTAAAAAAAATAATGAAATCTCTTTTTAAATGTTTATCCTTAGTCCTTCAGAGGCTTAAAGAAGTTAAATTTATCTACCACTATTTTCAAAAGCAAAAAGCTGTAAATTAGGACAGAATAAGAAGACACTGTGTTGAAGCACAGTTTCAGATGAGAATTTCAGGTTAGTTTATTCTTTATTGTTCGGTGGAAGTCCGTCCCCCCCCCACACCCACAAAATGGAACTGAGAACCAGCTGCTATTCTTTTAGATTGACGGAAATCTATCAGTCTCTATTAAACATGTATGCCTTTAGTTTTAGGCTTTTCATTCACCTTAAAGAAAAAGCAGTGTTTAGCATCCTTCTTTATGAATGGTTAGGCCATTTTTTTCCAGTCGTGTTTTTTCCCATTGCCATCTATTTGATGGTTCACAGGGTCCACCTATGTTTTCTGGAAGTCAGCCTCAGCCTGCCATTATAGAAGGATAATTATGATTCCATGAATAAACCTATGATTGGATCTAGTAGAGCTTTGCAAACCACAGAGATAATGCAATCGGAAAAAAATGACTGTAATGGTGAGTAATTTGTGGGCTGACCTTTGGTGACACATCAGACCTGGTAGTTTTTTTTTAACCTGTGGAAAATCCTCAAATACTGCAGCCATTTTACGTTTACAAATTTTGATCACGACCCATTTAAAGTCTTTTTTTTTATATAAACAGACAACCTATGATAAATAAACAGTTATTAGGATAGAATAAAACACAAAAAATTATATATTTTTCACTTGTTTAGGACTTATTGTTTTTCAAATCTGTTAAATTTCCATTTTAACCACTCCTTAAATGCATAGATATTGACAATTTGGTAACCGAAAACATTCCCCTTTTAAAAAATTTAAGTCATTAGTATTATTTTTAAACATTTGCAGAGACCCCAACAAAAGAAACTTCCACTCAGACGCACAAATTTTGTTTAGAACATCTTACATTCAACAAATCAGACATAAATTAAGTAAGAAAAATCACTCTTTAAGCCCCAAGCAGACAGCTGTTGTGATCAAACATTGCTGATGGATTGCAATTGTTTGCGTTGTTTAGCCGTAATGATGACGGCTAAGGTAAATTGAATCTCATTTTGTATGACAGCACAGCTGCAACAGTGTGACAATGGCATGTTTGTTGGAGCAAAAATCTCACACAAAGAAAGCCTCCTCTGTCCGCTTTGATTCTGCTTGTCGTCGTATTATTCCGAACATGATTACTCACAATTGTGTAGCTGCTGCCAGTTTCATTCTTGTGGCTCTTACCAAGATTGCTATTCTGCTAAACAGGGAATTGTGTGAATGAACCATATTGATGTAGAAACATGTATCCTGATATGCCCTACAGTGAGCACATTCCTTGCTTTTTAGTCCAAGGACAAAAGTGGAATTAGTATAGATGAAACAACGTGGTGATATTTGATGGTTTTGTTTAATATAAATAGAAAGAAAAAATAGGATAAAAAGAAGTTAACGCTGATGTTATGATATTGGATTTAGCTCTCAGAACAGTTAGGAGCTCACCATGCAGGGGAAGGCTTTGGTGCTTGTTTGTGAGCATTTGTAGTTTTCTTCGACCCCAACTAACTGCTTAGAATGCTTCTCATGGTTGGTTTCATGAGGGTGTTTGCAGCACTGTAACCCAAGAGCGCCCTTAGCCTCGCTGTGATGCTGTTCAGCTGGCTTCAGAGCTGGATTCAGGGCTCTCATGTGCCCTTTGAATATCCGAAGGCAATAGACCACCCACTGGTATGCCATGTGTCCGGGAAGCTGACAAGTTGTAATTATGCTTCTGATGATTCCTCTTTGGAGACAGCCATCTACGGCATCGCCCCGCCGTCCATTGCAGGAGCAGCAGGCGTCGTGGCTGTACCAGGTTGTTAGCCGACAGCGTGCCACTTTTTTATTTTCCTCATCTGGTTCAATAGTTGTTTTTATGTCTCCTTTTCCCATCTCAATGCTGTCATTATCTTCTGAGAATTATTGTTGTATTTGAGGAATGGTTTCCTTTTTCAGTGTTTTAAATCATACCATATTTATTCAAGTACAATACATAAAATTTATTCCATAAAATCATGCACAAAGTTGGGGGGTAGTACTATACTCGGATAAATATTTTTGCTGATGTATTTCAACTGAAATATCGGCCTCATTCACAAAATCCCTGAGTCCGGAAATGAAACCACGTCGTAAAAAAGCGGTTGAAGCGATCTTACCTCCAACACTCCTTTGTGCCTCCAAGCAAGATAGTTACAGATCCAAGCAGGCAGCATGATGTGAAAAAGAAAAAAGAAAAAAAAAGCCGTCCTGCATGACGAACAAATGATATTAATGTCCGACCGGGCCGCTCCTGGAACAACAACAAACACATAGTTGTCTGTAATGGCTGCCATTTACCGGTGTTCTGTAAAAGTTGGTCTACCTGAAAAAAGTTTCCCTACCAGAGGGGGCGCTTGCGAGACACAGAGGATGAGATTGTTGTTGAGTAGGATTCTGATGCCTTTATTACAGAGGAGGAATACCATAAACTTTTAATGATACTGATGATGGTGAGCCTGATTTTGAAGGCTTTGATTCAGCTTCATTCACACTTGTTAGAGCTCTGTTTGTTATATCACACCAGTTAACAAATGAGCATTGATAGCTTTTGTTGTAGTTATACTTTTGTTGTTGTGTACCTTTTAGTAC